CTTCGAGGGAGGATGATGAAAATTCCTTCTTCAATTGAAAAATTTAATGCTGATGTACGAAATTTGGGTGATCAATCAAACGAACTGAAGATTATAAAGGACTTCGCATCCACCAAAAATTAAAACCTACGGTGAGTGAGATCGTCGGCTTCGTATAAAGTCGATGATACACCAATGAATGAAGTTGGGGCCACAGAATCATTTTGGTCACTGAAAACGACCGCAAGAACACGCTTGAGTGGTGTTGCCATCAGAATGAAATTCGCAACGATTCTATCTGAAATTGATAAACCCACATTCAAAGGATAGCTTCACTGCTGAACAGTGTTATTTGTAGAGTTCATGCACAAGAGTAAAGCATAAACGTGCGAGCAGTCAATAAGAAAAACAGTAATTTGGATAGCAAGCGTGACGGTATCTTAAACAACTGCACTCGGCTGACTGAAACTTGAAACCGGATGTATGTGACGAAAAAATCTGAAGTTTTACCTCCTGGATCTTTTGAAAGTCGTTTCAAATCTGAAGTTTCGAAGGCGATGATGTTAGTTCCCAATGATGGGCAATGATATCTAACGGAGCAGTTTTATGTAGAAATCAACTCCGCAGATAACGGTTTTTCCAAACGCGAATCTTCAGCAGATGAAAAACTACGGGAAATGGTATGACTTGATTAATTTGAGGGAGTATTGTAAAAGAGTTACTGGATTATATGAACTACCATTAGGTGTTGTCAGTATTTATATGAAAGTGATGTCAGTTGAACAAATAAACATGAAGGCTGCAATGAATGATTTAGAAAGTACATAATAGAAAAGAAACAATTTTATGACATTGATCCAGTGGTAATCACGATACCGTTTGACGCTTTATGCTTATTTATTACCGATTCTGTGAGGCATTCATTGCCTCAATCGCCCAAATAATGGAGGTTTGCTCCTATTCATATCGACGGCTCATGCATTCCTCAAATGCTGATCACATGAAACGCAAATGCGTTCGACATGCTCATTTCATGCTCAATGCTCAATTTCTTCTTGGCCATTATCACTGCACGATCTCTGCTGTTCCTCTGTGTATTTCCCATCCAGAACATTTTTTGTGCACAAGCAGATAGCATTTGTCGTCACCTCCACTGCTCCTCTATATTTACTTAGCAATTCATGCGTTTCCTTACAGATCCACTTTCGGTGATCTTGCTTCGTTCAGTTCCGTGAAAGTTTCGATTCATTTCCCTATAAGTTTCAATTCATTTCCGCATAGAGAAGAAAAGTTCGTTAAACCTATTTAGGGAACAATGCGTGATCTAAAGCTATTGCCCTAATTAGGTTCAACGAAAACGAGAAATTTTGAAATCAGATGTTACTGCAAAAAATTTGTTGTTGCAGAAATTTCCACGAAATGTTATTTGCAGAAACTCAGTGTTCAGAAGCAGTGAAGGACTGATGTAACAGAAAGAAGCGCTCGTAAAATCATTTAACTTAAGGTTGAACGTTCCTCTTGTAGTGTTCAAAAACGACGCTGGATTAGAAAATACACAACAGCTATGAATGAATTCGATAGAAGCAAGTCCAAAATATCGACAAATATATGCATTAGGACATCAGTCAGATACGAACGGCAAAACACAGTATCATGGAGATTGAATTGTTCGTTAGTTGAGCACCTAGAATGCGATTAAGCGATTTAAATCAAGTTAATCACCCATTTGTTCACTATCTAAAGATTATGAAACGATTTTTTGGTTCCATCGGTCCCATGCTGCTATGTCACAAACGCACCTCTTAGAGTGTTCGAGTCGGGGAATAATATGCGCTTTCGTCATCCATCTCTTGTATTGATTCATTTCCGGATTTCAACGTTTCTAAGTGAAAACAATTTAGTCCATTAGCCGATTTTTAATCTATAGCCCTGCAGAGAGTACTGTATGACTATCAACTGTGTTCTGCCCAATGCTCTTACTTAAGATACGTAGAACTGATTCAAAAAATGAAAGTGCCAGCCTGTTCCATACAGAATGATGAAATTTAACGCGTTAAGAGAATTTCAAGCTCCTCGCCAACAGTGCTCTGTTTTTCATGTTTGCACTACATGATATCGATGTTTTTCAAGCAATATTTATTGGGCAATACCGTTTTTGTCCAGCCATCGCAAGTAAAATTTTCCAATTGCATCATTCGCACTTACAAAGATCGCGAATGCAGTTGACTGAACGCATTCGCTGTTCACATGCTATGACAGCGTGTGCCTCACATGAGGTTACATTGCTTTAGGTTTTTCACGTGCATAGTAGTGAGCTTGAGCACGCTTGACTAACAACCGTTTTGGAAATAGCATTCATACAACCATCTTGTACTCAATATATTGGACCAAAATGCAGATCTTTACAAACGCATGAATAACACACCGACGATACTTTTCCGATCAAGTGTTTGATATGAGTGTTTGATAATCTAGGGTAGTGGTTCTCATGTTCGGGTGCTTCATTACTCCTTTTGATGATCTGGCAGACCGCCGTTACCTCCTTCCCCCCCCATCTGATACAAGAACTTACTATTTATACGTATAATGTCTCCCTCCGACATCCCCAAATTACCCAAAACGGGTATAATTCTATTTCCTATAAGAACCACTGTCCTAGACCGTTGTGTTACTCATTATTGCAATCGATTATGACTGCACGAGAAGCTATATTTTCAGAGTGTTCTGTTCACTCTCATAGCTACTACATGCGAATACCGTTCTCTTGATGAGTTTTTCTCATTCAATTCGTCTCATTTCGCTTCACAGTTAGAATCATTTTCTCATTCTGTAGCATATACTATTTACTGGATGCGTTGACGAATGTTGACAACCGACAACAATACAACAGTCGAATATTATTGCTCAACAACGTTCAGCAGTCAAATGATCGATTATAGAGTGTATTTAATAGAATAAGAATTTGACTTTAATTGTTCAGTGAAATGAATGAGAAATTAGCAAAAGAGAACACTTTTCGTGATAAAAGCTATGAGAGCGATTGAACCAACAAGGAAAACGTTGAAAACCCTGTTAAAACGAATGAAAACCCCGTTAGGCCTGGAAGAGCTGATGGGAGAATGAAGAGTGTTGTCATCAACTAACCGCATTTACATACCCGAGTTAAAAAACATCATCACAGTGAGGTTGTATCATAACATAACAGAAAATACTAATATACTAATTTGTAGAAAATACTAATTTCCCGACCCCGTCCATCGAAATGTTTCTGATGACGATGGTGCTGAGCAAGTGTTAGGAAACGATCAATAGTTTGAATGTTTATCATTAACAAGTATATAACTCGCAATCCGATATAAGCGTCCATGGTGACATATCTACAACTGACAGTTTAAGCTGTTTGCTTCACTCATGTATGCTGAATATTGTATATGTTCAGCAAATGTTGCTACCACTTCAGTAATTGTAGCAGAATGAAGGAATCCGAGGGAAGGCAATAGACGTTGCTCTTTTGAACGATGTACCCACTCCCATTAAGCTTCGTTGAACTTCCTGCAATAAAATTTCTTGCAAAAATATTGCCTTGAAATGAACTTATTGCTAAATAATCATCGTGAGATATCACGGTTTACCATGTTAGATTGCGATTACGTTCCAATAGACGCAGTGATTGATTGTATCTTATAGAGTTGAATCGCGATCGAAATTTGTCAAATTTTGTTTGAAAACTTTTATTCTTGGAATAATTGTTGCTATCAAGTAAAAGTACTGGCTGCTTAATTTGTTATTGATAGTGTTGATGAGAAATGCGGCCCTTATTCTTTGATAATGTAATGCTATAAAATTTTTTATATTCGTCCGTTGCCGTTTAAAATAAAAACATGGTCAGCAATTTTGAATAGGAATTTGCATTCAGCGTGGAAAACTGCCTACACTATCATTAAAACTTAAGTTGTCACTTATAACTGACAATTTTAAGGTTGCCAACATCGAGCACTAATAACAAGAGTATGTTTTCTACCAACCATCATACAGTCACCAATCACTGATGAGGCTGAATGTTCCTAACATAGGCTTAATCAATCCAAATAGATCCCCATCGGCGATTGCAACGAATGATGTTTCCATTCCACTTGAACTGTTTTATGTGTGTTCCGTTATAAAGAGTAGAATAATAACGTTACATCAGTAGCAGAAATTTAGAAATATGAACAAAGTTCCGCACTTCTAAAAAGTTTTCATAAACAATCTCATTGCGGTTTTGTCGGTTAATTCATGGAACATTATTACCATTTCGTCGAAAGATATTTGAGGTTTGTGCAACAATAGTGAAGGCGAAGGACGCAGCAAAACGGATTAAAACAGTTTGCTGAGTGTGTGGAACAGAAACATCATCAACTGCAACATCCAGAGTGATTGATTGCATTCGATTTTTGATTAAACGAATCTCTGGTTAGTCGTGATTAGTGATGGCATCTGAACGAAATTTCATCTCGGAACCCGATCGACTTTCGGAATTCTTCTGTCGAAATCCAACCGCATTCACATTTTGAGATTCCGACACTCGGAATTCCGACCGACCTTCCAAACTGCTTGGTCGGAATCTGCATGTCGGAATTCTGAACGAAATTTGTCGGATTTTTCCGAGCGAACTTCGGTCGGATGCCATCATAAACCGTGACGACACGATTGGTGAATGCAGTAGAATAGATATGAATGTGTACCATTAAAATGTTCTCTCTGAGAGCTCTACTCCAGAGTGCAACCTGCTCCTGGAAATATTCGAGGTCTCGTATTTCAGTCCTGGTTAGTGGTCGTCGATATGCACCGTTTATATACAATAGATTGCCCTGAAATTGAGTCGAATTGATGCAATTGATACTAGAAGTGCCATAACCGAGGGGAGGCGATGGCGGGCACGTTGTCATATTCAATCAAATCCAATTTATCGACTGCTTTTTGATCATATCCATCACTATAAAGTATTTATGATTGCACAATTAGCTTGGAGTATTCACATGTTATGAGTCTCTTAGATGTGCAAAAGAGTTCGTATGTGGTGAAATGCTAATCTTATAAGCCGAACAAAAGATCAGGTATACAGAATCCAGAACCTGCACACTACATCCAGTATTACTGATACTACCAATGTTGAAGTTACGATAGGCATTGTATGGGTAATTGCTACCACGATATCCATATACCAGTGCAGCATCGCCAGTGCACACCCAACATGCAGTTGCTAAGAAAATGTATCTGAAAATTTCATTGGTTGCTTCTGGAGGATACCGAAACGACAAAATCAGTAGAAATTATGGTACCCGGACAATTTGCCTAAAGACAGTTTGCCTAAAGACAACTTGCCTAGCGGACACTTTGCATAATGGACATTTTCCCTATCAGACAAAATGTCCGTTAGAAAAACCGTTCGTTAGGCAAAATGTCTGTAGGCAAAGTGTCCGTTAGGCAATGTGTCTTTGGGCAAACTGTCGTTAGGCAAAACGTCTTAAGGCAAATTGTCCGGTCACGGAAATTATCCTGTCATAGTGATCTTATTTCGTGGTTCCAAAATTCTTAACTTATTCATCATCACACGAAATTTTTGATTACGACTGGCTGTCCTATCGTCCAAAAAGTAAGCTGTGGCTGAAAATTCGTCTCCATAACGATAATCAGTGGATTGTCGAAACTTTATGGCGTTCACTATCAGTTGAAGGGTCCTCACTAATCAGAACTTCGTTCAATGATAGAAAAAACTTGTTCGAAGTTCATAACAAACTGTCTGGTTGGAAGTAAGCATTTCACATTTGAGAGTGCTTGCATATAATATCACTTTCATTAACCGTTTCCGTCTGAGAAAATGCTCTCGAACACTAACTGCTCTTGACGCACACATTCCCACATAACATTGGAGAGAAGTTATCTAGTAGAAATCTCGTAATCTATTAACGTTAGGATGTATTTTCAGAGGATAATGGAAAATTGAAGTTAAAAATGAATAAAACTCACATATTGGTGGAACGCATGATAATATTTCTGAAAATAATTTTGATGGAAATTCAACTAACTGCGAATGATTGAGAGAATCAAAGTTGGAAGCAAGAAATTGGAAAACGATGAAATGGTTGAATGTGTTCAGCGAATGAATGTATTCTCACTAATTGGTTTTGTTACAGCGTTTTCATTGCACGGTCTATCTTCATCAAGTAAAATGACGAAGATTGATTTGATAACTGCCTTTAGTGTTATTATTATTATTATTATTATTATTATTATTATTATTATCATTGTATAAACACAACATATCACTGAAATTGTTCAGTGAGTATTTCTCGAAAAAATACTTTTTGAATCACTGAAAAGTATTAATGGACAGTGTCAATAGACTGTCGACAAAAAACAGATCGTGATTGACTTTTTCAAAATTATTGACAATGAATGCAATCTTTCATTGCACTCCTGATCATGTGCTCATTTTTATTTCACTTTAAGAATTGCGTTTTATGAGCAGCACAGTCTGACGAACCGAAGTAAGAATTTTTCCCAACGGAAGCATTTTTTGTGGTTCCTTGAGAAGCCCGTCCAGCTTTTTCATCCGAGTTCTGATCGTTTAATGACTCAGAAAATTCGATCAAGAGAAATCAAGAGAAACCAATTGTATATTGCATTGATTTTTTTGTGCAGTCGAAACTGCTCCGAACGATACGATTTTGAACCTTATTTAGATTCTGTTCGACGAATAATCATCACATAACTAATTAATATAAGTCAAAATACTTCTTACAAATACTCCTTGTTAGTATTGCATATTGTATGCACAGTGATTCGATACAACGACTTGTTGGTGTTGATGTTGTTCCAATGAATACAGAACTGGTTTCATTGCATTGTACAGCTTTTTTTATCGATGAATGCAATATAACCATAATTAAACTCTTAGTTTGTTCTCATCTTGAAGTTTTTTCCATTACATCAGTTCCCAATCATTGGCTGTATTTTTTTATGTCCACTACATCGAACGCGAGAATTCGTCACCGATTCATTCAAGTTTTGGTAGGTTTTCAACGAAAAATGGCAAACTTCAGCAAGACATTGTTTTTTAAGTGTTAAGTAGGTGACGATCAATGCTGATAGTGATCGGAGGTGGTAAATTCTGAGATGAAAGAGTATTTATTACGTGGTACTCAACAAAGAGGAGAAAATAAACACTTTCATTGAACGCTCATTCGAATTCATATGAAATTGTACGGATGTACGTATTGAATCATGCAATCAGTCATACATGTAGACTGATAGCAAAACCTAATTATAATTCTAATATTCGTTCACTTTCAAAATATTTTGTTAAACGGTTCAATGTTAATTTCTGTGGAGACAGAAGAACATTTATTGTGGATTGCAGAAGGCCGGAATCGCTGGGAACGCTTGCTGCGGCTGTGGTAATTGTTGCTGTTGTGGATTCGTCGCGATCACTGGTGCGGTGGTCGTCGAAGATGGCATCATGTTACCGAACAGACTGCTCAAACTTGACCAGATACCCTATAATATTTGACATGATGAATTGAATTTTGCATGGGTTGTTTATGAACAAAATGGCATCTTTTCCTAAATATAACCTCAGAAATTCCGATTCGCAAAAAACTTTTCATTTAAAATGTATGTTCGTATATATTTATGCACGCACATACGTGGAACAGTGAAATTGAAAATTGAAAACATCCAAATTTTGTGACAATAACGCCTTCATTTATCCCAATGAAATCAGCATGCTTGTCTCGAAAACTGGCCGCTTTATAAATCGTGGACTAATTATTTTGGCAAAATTGACTGCCGTAAGTGAAGTGCGTACGAAGCACATTCCGTCTACGTACTAGGTTGAAAGGGTTAGTCAGGGAAGTGACAGGATATGATGTCAACAACTTAAATGTTTCGGAAAAGCAGCGAGTCCTTCGGATCGTTCAAGACAACGGACAACACCTCATCATTTTTTTCAGGCTGAGATCTGACTTTACTTCACATTGTATCATTAAAATCACCTGCATAAGAATGTTGCTGAAGCTGTTACCCCATTGTTCCACTGCACTTTTATACTGTTGCAGCTGTTGTTGTTGCTCGGCTGTAAGTGCTCCTTGTTCCACCCCGTTGATATAAAGGACGTTGTTCTAGAAATATGAGACTCCTGTCTTATTGCCTTGACCATCATCCTGATATCATCTAGTAAGTGGTTGCATCGTCACGGAATCGGAAATTTCAGACGCAAGACTTGGAGCGAGCCACGAAACTAGTTCACACAGTAAACTGGTTAAAGGGACAACGTAATGTGCTCAAGAAACCCATGTATTCATGCTGTAAGGCCACATTATTTTCTCAATTTGAAATCATCAGTTGCTTTCATGCAGCTCTACGAAACCGAAAACATTTTACCGAGACTGTGCAGTTATTTGGTCCACCAATAATGTAGGTGTTACCATCGGCTGAGACGTAACCAACGCTTTCATAGTCTGAATATTCATTTGATGGCGTAGTTGACGATTGCGTTGCTGCCATTGAAAAGATGGAAAGTGAAACTCTGAAGTATCTTCCTTGAAGTTGAAACTGTATAGGTTGAATTTTTGGAGTTAGATATTAGCTAAGTAACCAAAAAATACTTTTTTGCGAATACTTAGTCCTTGAAACCCTTTCGTGTAAACAGCTACGTCGTGGGCGAGAGCTAATTTATTTCCTTCAACAATTTCGACACCAAAGCACTTTATAAATGGTTAATATGCTGAGTCATACGTAATAACTGTTATCTTACGCAGGAAACACGCAAGAGCGTCTAAATAACGGCTCCGACATAGGAGCATTCACCTCACGAAATATGCAACGAATAAATTAAAAGTGATTAATTTTCACAAAAGAAAGACATTCAGCCTAGAGCTGCATGCCATCATCTAAATCGTGTCTTAACGAAAGACAGCGCATTGCTGACAAGGCAAAACAACTTACACAATGAACTTAAGCATAGTCACTTATTGAAATGGCAGCTGGCTGAACTATTTGGATTCTAGAGGCTGATGAACACCAGCAACTTGCTTCTTATATAGCTTTCTCTGATTAAACAGTTCAGATGGAAAATTCTTGTCAAACAACACATCCTCTTTCGCCTAATGTTTACTCAAAATGACTCAACAGCTAACATAGACAATTTTTCAAAGCACATTTCAAATTGGATCTAATTCAGTCTTAACAATATTCATTGTCTCCGCAATTCAAAATACAATTGCACCTGGTAACCCGTTCGACTGAAATTGAAACAGTTATTGTTGGCAGAGTCAATCTGAACAGGTTAGTTGGTGGACGTATTGTTCAAGTATAATCGCTTCGAATTGAGTCATTTTGTTGATTTGAACAGTGCAATCTTTTGCTTGAAATCTCGAAAATAACTACTGGCTTTTCACTACGATACCATCACAGTTGAAAAATGTTAATGGTTCGTTCTGAACGGCACTTTTTTTACAATCGAATACTGGCGCTTGAATTTTCGAGAATTGGATCAGTACTTCAACATAATGAAATATCCAGGTGAAGCGACTGATATCGTTGAGCTTTTTTTATTTGTTCACTTGTTCCCTACAACAATTCTGAACAGTTTTGATCAAATGATCCATCCGTATGATTTACCTTCGATGAGGATTGTTCAGCAGCATATGCCCATTCCTTTGACTGATTGTGAGTAGGCGAACTGATCAACAATCGATCAGACTGATCAATTCGATCAGATCCTGTGTTTACTTAATAGATCTATTAGAAGAATGTGATTCACTATGGGAACAATCCAAAAAGTGGTAATAAATATTTGATTTTACTTACGATGGAACAGAAGCGCATTTATTTACATGTCCTAGTTTTAGGAATTGTTTTTAAAGTTATTAAAACAACTGTAAATCCGTTTGGAATGAGTAAATATTTGCGTTGATGCACGTCAAGCGATCATTTTTAAAGATCTTATGATCAACGTTGATTATTATGATATCTTGATTTCTGAGTTGCCTGTTCTGCAGGAAATATTTGAAAGAGTCGGGTGAACAATTCTAACAGACAAGATCATGCTGCTTAACCTCCAAATTGATCAAAGGTGATCACATCAAACGCAACATCGAATTGTAACAAATCCAACACAACATCCGCTTATGCAGCCACCATATCACTGGCGTGACATTGTTTACAATTTTGTGATCATTTGAGATTAACAACATTAGAAAACTTTATCCAGCAATTCTCACTAATGACTTAGTTCTGGAAAAGTGCTTATTTTATAACGATAGATTCTTAAAAGAGATAATACAACATGAAGATTATTGAGTGAAATTCCCAGAAGCGAAGCATAATGGGCAACATTTAAAGCGAAAGTTTGGAGGGAACTACTTGTCTGTGATTATGACAGTATGAAATGGTGAGAACGATGATACTCATGGGCTGATAGCAGTGCTAACGATAAGATGATGATGGTCACCGCAATAATGATGAAAATGATACGGATAAACATATGGAGTGGGTTGAGAAGGTAGTAATAAAGACTGCAATGTTAGCAGTATTAGCAATGAATGGAATAATATATGTAATGAATGGGCAAGATACCTAACCAGTCCATATATCAAAGAAATAAAACGATAAGTGCAGATTTGATCAAATTTAAATATCCTTCATACTACATCAACATCACATCACTGGGCGAGTGATATGGTAGTCAAACATTTAATGTATTTCAGCTTTCAAATGGTGTATTTTCAGCCTATGAAACCTCTCCAGTAACAATTGCTCGATGTAAGCGAAAGGTTTTGTGCATTTATTCCCTTTCGACAAGGAATTTTAATGACCGTTACCGATGAACATTTCCGTCAAGCAGTCCGAACGAAATTCTGAAGACCATTTATATCACCGCCCTTTGCATCAAAACTGAAGTTCTTAATAAACTTTAGATTTGATGCAAAAGGAGTATTCTAACTCTACGGAGTATTCTTGATTCATGGAATTGAATTCCTATTACGGTTTACAGAATGACGGTATAGGTGGCATTTGCATCTTTTGATCACTGGAGCCGGTTTCATTCGCTTCGCTATTGTCACTTTCATCGTCACTGTGCTCGTGATCATTTTCATTTTGCGGCATATTTGATGATTCACTGAGAGCTTCGAGACGTTGTTCGGTTGTTGCGAAAACAGTAGAGTGAGTTGTGAGAGCCTAAAGTTGCATTTGAATTCTATCGTAAATATCATCCGAGATATTGCAATTTTCAAATAAATATAATTCCTTAATTGAGTTATTGTCATGTTGTTTAGCAGAATAATGTGTTTTCCATGTCGATTCGTCCAATCGACGTATCTATAGCAACCGACGCAAACAATTTCTCCGATTTGCTTTGAATTTTCACTTTGACATGTTCACGCAAAAGCCGAATCTCTGCTTAAGTATAAGAATTGGGTATAGCAATTGTCACATAATCGATTCCTTCAAGCGTTCTTGAATCTTTCGGTTCCATTCGTGATAATGAGTCTTGATAAAATAGTGCAAAAGTAAATTAATTATGGTTACCTAGTAACGATTCAAAAAAGGAATGATTATCAGTTACGCGAGCGCTTTATATTTCGATTTCGTGTTTCATTCTTTTGCAATTCCAATTCAACGACTACATCAACAATATCTCATCGGAATCGATGACAATGACAGAAACGAAGCATTGAGAATGGAACTAGTTCAAGCATTTTCAAGGCGAATATCTGACCTCTGATACGTTCATGGAAATTTCATCTGTCCATTTACTGACAGCCGTCTGATACGCCAGTAATTCTTCGCCATCTATTACACTCAGTTTTCCTTTTGGCATGCCATTCACGGTTAAATTTCCGTCCTGAGTTGAACATGATCAGAGATTCATTTGTGAGTCAGGGTTAAAATAATGAAATTGATTTTGTTCTCATGCTCGTATCGGATCAATGGATATTACTTTCTCTGAGTACGCACAGAATGATTGAAAGCGCTCAGTCGAAAGCATCTCTATTTGTAGTAGTACATTCGTCCAAGCAACGAGTGGCAGTTCTTCAGGTCAGGTTATTGGAATTGATTGAGAACACAGTGAACGGACGAACATACAATTGGTGGCGTAGGTTTGTCATGATAATTTTGCACTCACTGTCACTTTATAACCACGGCTTTCAGCAGAACTTACTCGAATGATGCAGATCACACTTCCGTTGACGATTGTTTGATCCGTATAGGAAACGTTCGCATTCACTGATAATACAGCTGCATCGGATTCGAGCACGACTACGATCAAGGCGATAGAGAAACTGAAAGGGTATAGCAACTGGAATAAGCGATTATTCGATATTCAATTCCTTTGCTTACTAGAATATAATAATTAGACCGGAACATTTTTATAAACAATTTCATCTTAGAAAACGGCCATCAAAACATTCTTGCAGGCGGTGTTGCCTTAAGGTACATAAAATAAAAACAAAACAGAGAATCGATCTTCTTCTGAAGATGACAGATTTCATTTATGAAGTAAGTGATCAAAAAGATAATTGAATTGCTTCATTGATTTCGAACATGAATAGAGAATTGTCGATGAACTACTCTGAAGTGAACTTTTCAAAAGTGATTATTTCTTTATCAACTTATCTATATGAGATTCATAGATAGATTTAGAAAGTGAATACTCACATAAAGAGTGGTGCTTGCATGGTGCAACCGACCGGTGATGAATGAAAGCAGAGTAACGGCTGAGAGTAAAAGGCGGAGTGACTGGCAAATGAGACAATGTAAAAGGCTGGCCGATTAAACATTTCTGATGATTAGAATAATTTATGAAATTTGCTTCGTTCAAATCGCACATGAACAGAGGCATTGGGAACAAACAATTCAGCTGCTGATGCTTTTTGCTTATGAACTTTGTTGCTCATTGAATGAGATATGAACAGCTTGCCCTACTGAGTGGCAAGGAAAAGGTTTAGGTACTTGCTTCTTCTGTTTCATGGATCCATATCCTCCTCGCGTCTCGATATTTGATAGAGTACAGTCGTTGTTTTACTTACCTATTGCCTGCATTCTTATTTCCCGGTTATCAAAAGATTGAAATTGAATAAGATCCTGCAAAAAAAATTGAAGGTTTCGGTGTTATCCCGTTATCGTCAATTTTATGCGCCTATATCTTTCCCCTGGTCTATAATAAACACTTCAACGTGAGGCAAGTTCAAACTTTTGTATGACCCATACCAGCAAAACTGTGCAATCACAAGGTCATTTCATCGTTTGACCAGATATTGTCATTAATTCATCGTGGAGCAGTGGAAATTGAGCAGAATGAAAGGATTTTGAAGAATAAAATAAAGGTGCCATCGAAAAATCAATCTTATGAAACGATTCCATTTGAACTCGCTATCTTTCGTAGGAGATGCACATCCTTAGCAACGCAATGCTCGAAATTTTGTCCTAATGAGCAGTCGCATAAAGATGAATGAACTCGAACACAATTTGTTAATATTCAGGAGATCGAAATTACATCTGATCGTTTTTGACGTATTCTGCTTGATATTAGCAATACAATATGTGATAATTGGATGCTTACGTCAACATCAGGTTTGACAAACTTTTTCTCTTACCCATATTCATTTTAAATCCAGTTGTCACGGTTGCATAACAATTGCAGCAAAATTTTTGATCCACTTCCTACATTTGTGTTGCTTTTCAGATATTTTTCAGTGTTTTTTTGTGGCATGAAACTTGAGAAGAAGTCAAATTACGAGATTGAGTTCCTCTTCCAATTCCCGATTTTTTCAGGGTGACCAACCACATTTTCGAGGTCCTCGACCGCAAGTTTCGATCCAGACTTTCCCCGCCCCGGACTTTTTTCTTTCCCTGCAGTACACTACTGCGTACAGTGTTGCGAGGGCATACCATAGCGCCTTGGGCTCTTAATAATAAACCCATTGAAATATAAGTGTGCAAACGATAAAGTCGAGTTCATGTATGAGGATTTGTAATAAATTTTTATCCTCGCACAACTATTACTTGTGGTGAACAATCGAAAATGCTCTTCATCAAGTTTTATTAGAGGTGACATGGCCAGCTAATTAATGGCTCTTGACTGGCTGACTAAGATTCTTGTTTTTTTTAAAGATGATAAGAATACATTCTTTATTTGCATCACTAGTTTTATGGCGTTCGAGCGATATGACGGGAACACTACCAATGCACTGAATGTCAAAACTATCGGCGCGAATGACCGAATTCTAGCCTGAAAATTGTCGCATATTTTTAAACGATGATGATGGATGGATGCGTGAGATGAATGAGTCAAATAACAAGTGATCAGGAACACCATGCCAGTTGAAAAACTGCGAAACTTCCACAAACAGACAAAATGAATTAACTGGAACTATGAGAACTATTCTATCAAGTGAATGTCTCGCGGAGAGCTACATCGTCCAATCTGAATAACAAAATCTCTTACAGTACCAAGAATGATCTCAATACCCATAACCTGATAGGTGCGCATTTCATCAAGAACCATCGTGATATTTTCGAGCTCTGGATTGCTACTAATAACAATGGATGCAACAGCTACAACTGAAATAAACTGCTCAGTCAGAAAAGATGAAAAATCATTTCGGATCATTTCTAGTTTCTATCCAGTCGATCACAATTATACTTCGCTAATTTTTACAGTTTTCATTCGAGTAATGTTGATACAAGTTCAAAAATATCGTTAAAAGTGCGCTGATTGTGAGTACCTTTGCGCTGCCGGCGTATGTTGAAGTCTCGAATGAAGAAGCAATCAGTTTGTAGTTTTTGCACGGTGCATAGCTAAGCAAAAGCATACCTACATATTTGAATTAATTCGCTAGTGAAAGAGGTTATCGCTTACCAATCGAAGGAATGTTCAACAGGTTCACGATGACTGCGTAAATGATAACGCTAGCAAATTGCCTCATCTCGCGACTTCGCAGCTTCCTCAATGTTTTTTTACGAATGCAACTGCTTCGGGCAGTAGTCCATGAGGTCTGCAAACGACTGAAACACTAACAAATCATTTTGATGAAGCTTCAAGTGACACGCAGCATATCTTCTCTATTGCGCAAACAGCAAAAAATAGATTATTTATGAAAAACGCATAATAGCATAAAATCAAGGTGGTTACGCCTGCTGGGGAGCTGCCTCCATGCGGTGATCTCGATAAAGCGACATTCGAAACGAACCGTTTAACTTACCGCGCCTATTAAGGCCAAAAAAATGACCACCGTGAAAAAGCTGACCGCAGCAGTGATCTTTGTCGCGAATTGATTGCTCACCATGAAGGTGGATAGAACTGAGAAAAATCCACAGATCATGTGCAGTAAAACAGAAAAAATCATCCACTTTCTGAAAGTCACCCATCCTTCGAGTAAAACTTCGAAGTTCAGAAGGTTGGGAAAGAGTGCTAACAAATAAAAACTAGATTGTATATAGGTAGATTGCATAAAACAAATAAAAATTGTAAGTAAAATTAGATAATTAGTTAGAGAGAACCAAATTTCGTTGACCACTGACCGAATTTACCTGCCGATGCTCGGAAATTATCATATCCTTTTAGAGTGTAAGGTCTGTGGCCACAAAAAAAGACCTACTATATACGACCGTTGCTACATAAAGATAGGTGTTCCAGCAGAAATGATGCAAAAAGTGTCGTGAGTGAAAGCATGTAGAAAAAAAAAATCCACTAATTTACCTTGGTGTAAAATATTTCTGGAAAATGGTTGGCGCAGAATAAGCGAAATAAAAAAACACAAGCAAGCTGGTTGAATGAAGACGATAACTCAGATCGATAAATGATATGAGGAATGGAACCACTGTCATGGTTAGCAACCTGAAAGTGGTCAATCAATTCAACAACGCCGAACATAATCATTGCGATTTTGTTGATAGCGACTTTCTACGTTCTAATATCTCCCATCGTGCCATAGTGCACAGCAAGTGAAATCGTCGTAGCTTGTGGCTACCATGAAATGTCATCACTTTTATTAGATTGCATAAAATTTCATGTGATGCACGACCCATTTATTTCCGAACAGTGACTGTCAATTTTTTCCGCGTTATTGATTTTCTCTTCGCCGATTATGATCTGATTTTCAGGTGCTCATAAAACTTTCTTAAGATATCATTCTCACGACACCTGAAGCACACAACAATCCTTACAAGTAGGAAGGAACTGTGAGAAAATAACCGAGAAGACACCTACAACACGGATGGAAATGCGGCAGCATAGAGTTGCACGTAGTTGATCAGGTCGTAAATGGATAACCAAGCGTTCAGTGTGACTATCGGTATGAACATGCTCAGAATTGAGATGTTCACGACATCTCGGATTGAAATCCGATATAATGCTATAAAAACAGTCATCAACGTGAGCATATTACCAAGTTGGAGCATTAAGAATCGTATCAGATTGTCATTCAACAGGAATGCTCCAGTCCACTGTGTGCGCTTTGCGTTCTCAAAAAGATCGTTATTTGAATGCACAATTTCATCTGCCATCAGATCTGCATAATTTCATCTGAGGAAATAAAACGTTCGTGTTTGAGCAAAATGCGTCCAATATCCTCAAATCAGCAGTCAACAATGTTCCTAAAATCACATCGACAACGTCAGTTCGACCGACAATGATAACACATTCACGAAATGGCAATCACCTCTTGCTGCTTATGACTTCACTTTTTTTGCATCTCATCTATTTTTGACTAAAATGTTTTTACTTTCAAAGAAACCAACACAATTTTGATGCAGTTCAATCAATTGCAAGACAATAAGATATTGGATACGTATAAACAGTTTACAAGGAATCTAAATATGGATTTTATGAACAAACAACTTCGATTATCGAAATATCGAAAATTTATTGGGATATCTTTGAAATATTGAAGAGACAATACGATTCGTATCGATTTTCTGAATGGAAACTGACGGAAGGGTGTGCTGTTTGAATTTATAATCAGTTACGTTCACCAATGAACAAAGAAGCATCGATTTTCGACTGTCTTCAACCGTTCGATAGTTCTTCGCTAATCACACGAATTGAATGAAAGTCTCATTCAAGGGAACTTTTTGACGATTATGAAATAGAACAAATTCGACGAGTTCTTGATTAGTCTCAAATGAGGTGTATTACGAGCGCAGTGTTAGCGTTTCTTACTAGTCTCAACTCATTCGTTTATTTTTTGAACGATTACTATGACTTATGATTTTTATGTACACGTGTTTCGATCAATGACACTGTAAATCGTGAAACTGCGTGCATTTTTCCAACGCGTCCGAAATGAATCGTTGGAAACATTGCCAGTTTAGAGTAAAGTTGAACTTAAACTCTGTGGATATCCCTATAAACCTTTCAGGAAGCAGCGACTATCTTAATCACAGTCAGTCTATATAATTCAGCAACGATTTCGGCTAATATCCTTTGGAGAACTGAGAAGGAATCCATGTAAATTACATCCCACAATCCCCTCATCGCTTTATAAGTATGGAATAGAGCGCAATCCCGATCCGACTGGTCGTTTCTATTCCTTGAGAAGGTTTTTCGCTTTCGGCAGCACAACTTTGATAGAACAAATTATTTCGCCTCATTCTGACTGTGAGCTATCCAATTTTGTAAAGTATGAACGCGAGAATAGGAAACAACCGATGAACACAATGAAACTGATGTTTATTTACAATTCTTATTTACAACGGAGGAGAATCGAACTCATGAAGCAATACATGAAGACAAATAATTCACTAGAGGAGTATGTGGGCATCATCAGAAGAGGGCTAACTTCAATCTAGGAGGGTCGAACGTTTCATTTTTATTGCTTTATACTAGCTAACTGGTCAAATCATTTGGAGAATTAGTAACAACAGCTTGAATAACAATGCAAAACAAATTCATTCGACACATACGCAGGATGCCAGCATCAACATACGTAAGATAGAAGGGGCATTTTAAAAACAGAATAAAATAATCAATTCCATACTTAAGCGAATGAGTTACTTAATGCAGAAATCACTCCAACAATGGTGACGACAGCAGCAAAGCACTTTGAATAATCTACACCGAACAACAATGAAATGACATGACCCGATCGTACAGACTGCAAATTTTAATGTAACAATCCTACGCGCGTATAATAACGTAAAATATGGTAGAAATTCAACATTGATACACCACAAAGTCACAATTACAACAAGCATATATCGATCCTCCTGAACACGGAGTTCCAATTCAAATCACTTGAAAACCGAACTAAACTCGTCTGAAAGTGAAGGGTGAAGTTTGCAAGCTATGATGACAACGTTTATTGAGCTTGAAGTGGAACGTATTTTGCATTACAAAATGCGGTGAAAACAAACAGAGAACAACTGAAGATCTGCTAAAATGTTTGCAAATAAGTTATTGCTGATGGAAAAATATATGAATCCATTATTCGATCCGCCGGCGGTCGATTCTCACACTGAAGACATTTTCAGTTTCTTGGTATCGGCCATTTTTTTGCCACACATAGCGCAAATTGCTTTTTGATAGGCGCATTGCTGACAATAATGTGATCCAACTTGATGAACTTTTGTCTTGCAAATACGACATCGTTTAAATTCTTGATTGTACGGTTGAAATCTGAAATCACGAACGAATCACTCCAACGACGAATATCTTCACGGATCTGAACGAACGGATCGGATGTTGAAATTTGGTTGGAAGAACGAATGCGTAATACTACCTGTCCTTTTTTGTTGAAAGTAGTTTGTTTTCATTGCCACCTTTCTTGATTGGACCAGCACCCTCGTTACGAGATTTTGTTCGATAGGGATCAATCGTCGCCACTTTACTCAGTTTTGCGGTACCTGATTAATATGGATATCAGTCATTGCCAACAATGATGATAAAAGGCAAGAATGTCATCTGAATACTTGAAATCGTTCACGGATCAGGAATTTGGTTTGTGCATCAATAACGTAACAGCTCAGAACAGCATTCAAACCAGTGGTTCTATTGCCAATTTATAATAATTCATAATTATAATATCGACTACAAATTTGTGATAACGATCAATCCATTACTGATCTGTGTGGAACGGACTTGAACACATAATTCACATTCGTCGTGCAAAATAACGTAACGTTTCATTATAAAGAACTGAACGAAAAATCACTTACAGGATTCGCAAACCATCGTTGCGCTCGATGCTGATCACCTCAGCACTGTAACTGGCAATCTGCTTTGTCAAAAACACTCTGAAAAAATTAAAAACATGAATGTTTGGACGTTGAGCCAGTAAACAGCACAACAATCACTTAATTCACCAAATTTGACTCAACTCATCATATGAAAATTTAAGAGTAAGATTATTTAGTTGAAATTTCCGAAGAAATTGTTCTCCTCGACAGACATAAGCACAGGCAGAATGCCAATCAGACTGAATCGTCAGTCGAGTATCGCTCTAAAAAGCTTGACAACTTTAGCAGCGGAAAGTACAATTTGAATCTTTTATCTCATGCATGATTAAAATTATGCATGGTGAATGATTGCATGCATGCATGTGAGTGAATACACGAAAGAGAACTAGACACGGTGACCAAAAATCTTGTTCGTCGAACGCTATTCTCATCCCATCTCGTCATCTCGTTACCGTCTCATCTTCTCTTTGGTTGATGTTGTCCCAGTGAGCAAATATTAGACGTTGTGGTGAATAGATGCGATAACCTTAACTTCGAAAGACACAAAGCTTTAAGTCTGCTTAACATTCCCCAGGTTAACAAAACGCCGTACTGCTTTATCTGAATCATTTTCACTTATTTTCTCAGATTCTTAATTTATGTACTCAATTGTTAACATTCAGTTTACGCGATTGTAATTTGTTTAATTTAGTTTATTCATCGTCTTAATTTACCCCTATTTACCCCATTTGACACATCCAGGTGACAGAAAGGGCACTGAAAAATCGCATCCTTCCATCATTGATCGCATCATCGCTTTTAAGAGTTTCAACAGCATATTTTGAAGTTCTAAAATTAATTGGCCATTCAAAGTTGAATTTTGGAGTTCATGAGATGTTCTGAAGGAATCCAGTTTGAGGATTCTACTAGACGAAACTGATTCTGCGCACCTGTCTGAGCGAGATTCTTTGTAATCGAAATGACCGAATCGTAAACTTCTTTAAGAAGGCTGTTTTTATTTTCCTCTATCACTGTTTTATTTCATTTTCATTCAGCATCAATGCATCAGTTGCTCATACAACATTTTTAATAAACTGTAAGTATACTGAATTCAGCAGGGTAGAAGTTGTCTGGATTTACAAATTACTACTTTAGTCATATTGAAAGACGTTGCACCAAGAGAGAAGTGAGGCGGTCAATTGCCTACAAATGTCACTTGCATATGGATATACATACGTATTTGCAAAATCCATCAACTTCATGGAATCATTGTACCACGCATTGTGTGAACGTTTGAAATATCGACGAAATGTTGTCGCAATACCGTTGATGAAGTATTGTAATACTACCGCCGTAGCCATCTATTTTGAATCCTTTTATTAGAAATATTTATCCTTCGCAAACAAAACTGCACTCATCTATTCATTTGTTCATTTATTCGAGAGTAGTAAATTGAAAGCGACAATCAATATCTTGTGCTGGTATGTGCCCGTCCATTTCCATTCTTGAGTAATTGTCCTATGTTGCTAGTGCGACCGAAGGAAATCCTCCTGTTTATGTATGTCTCTTTATCGTCTCCACTCACAGATATCGCATGAATCAAACTGTTGACCTTTGTCATCTGCTCTTCTTCACGTTATCAGCACTTCTCTCGAAAATATTTGAAGTTTGTAACGGGAAAACGTGAAGATTTGAATGGAACATTTCGATCTCAACTAATTTTATCATCTTGTTTTCCATGTTCAGTCAATTCCAACGTTCCAAAAAGAAAGCAAACTTCAAGGTGTTAGTGTATGGTATTTGAAAAGTAAAAGAAAAGTAAAATATCAATGGTATTATAGTATTCGCAGTTATGACACGTTGAACAAGAGCAGTCGTATTGATAATGCAATGACAACATATCAACGGATTATCGTGAATATATTAATCAGAGCAGGCTCTAGTGGAAACCAATTTTGACACCACTATTATTCCCATGTCATGAAGTGAACAGCCATGGAGTGGTCTATAACTAATTTTGATTCATCAAGAAATCTTACTCCTCCATCTGTAATCCATATATTCCTTGAAATTTGATAAGTGCGAATAAAATATGCATATTTACAGCCGATATGTCAGTTGGAAAATCGATGATATTTGTGGCTGCCACCTATTTCTTTCCATAATGATGAAAAGGTGATGTTCATTGCTGACTGATGAAATTTCAGGACTGTTAGATACAAACTGGAGTTTCTCTTCGTAGATTTTATATCCAAGAAAAAATTTATTCAATCTAGGTTTGTTGATCGTTACTAATTGCAGAATGCTGCATTATTGTAGCAGAATTGTTTGTTGTCCCGTCATCGGCAATTGCATCGCAATTATTATTGTTGTGGTTTGCACAATAGGAATGAGCGTAACAATAAGAAAATCATTTTAACATTGTAAATGAACTAAAAGTAAGAAGTACTCACTAAAAGCCATATTCTTCTGACTCGTCTCTCGTTGGTGGTTCTTTTTTCTCAGTCAATCACTCTTTGTGGAGAAGATGTGTGAAAAATTTAAAGTTTAAACTCGATTACAACGATTACATTCGAATTTCACATTTCGTACTTACCACGTCTTCATTAGACCCCAGTTTTTTCCTCAAACTCAGTCATACTTAACGTTTTTGCTCCTTCAATCAATCCTCTTGTTATCACGATTATTGTGAACTGATCCTCCCAATACGATATGAATTTTTCGGCGTGTATTGGAAATCGTTCAATGTCATATCTGATGGAAATCGCAATACGTCTCCAGTTCATGTCCATCATATCAACAATCGTAACATGACAAATTGTTAGTATCTTTTCGTTTTTTACGGGTCAGTTCGCTGGAAAATACGAATTGCGTTCGAATATTTTCTCCCTCTTCATATCTTATATTTTCTTATCAGCGCTTTCGATTTTCTTACTTCGTTAGTGATTCAGTGTTATGACACTCCTTTCAGTCTTTTCTTCATGATCGCTCTCTATTATTCTTGATTGATTTATTTTGTATTCAGTTTCGTTCTGGCAGTGAAGTGGAATTTATCATTCATTAACCTTCACCTTTTAATCGTTTTCAAATGTTTCTTTTCAATTCATTCTTTTGAATCGATTTATCTGATTCGATTGAGTCATCCGTAAGATTTCCATATTATGATTCGAGCGCATCTGATGATCATCTATGTAACTGTATTATTATTTCTCGCGAATGATGGTTCATTCAGAAACTGTGAATAGTGATTTCATTGATAGTCGATTGATGGACTCTTCTCGTCATGAAATATTTCTTGACTTGAAGTCTTTATCGTTGTCAATTTTCTATCGAAATGCAAAAACACGGATTATTTCTCTATACCCTCAATTCGAATTTGAACGTCCTTCGCAAAGTTGATCTGATCCGGCGTATCTGTAATTGCTTGCAGTTAGCACTAATGCGGGTTGCATTTACGTCAGTATTATTCTTTGTGCTATTCATCGTTCGAAGGACGTTATCGTTGTCCGTGCCAAGACGTCCACAACAGACTCGCCAAGTTACGATACAAATGAATGGCTATTCACCTGATATTGTGAGTTTTGCTGTTCCGATTTCTATAAAAGCGTGCGCTTTCACCTTCAAAGATATAATTTTCCATTCCTTTATGTGATCATTTCTCATGCCGAACTCAGTTGGACCCTTTTGGAGCTTCATCGCAATATGGAACCAGTATGTATATGACTTCGACAGTCATATTCTTAGCAGCGAATATGGTCCCAAAACGTAATTTTTTGCATTATCTTATTTTTACGTTCGACTGCGTGTTTGTATCGATGAATTATAGGATGATGATTACGTAGCGATTAGTATGATGGCTGAACCAGGATATATAGGTTGGTTTGTTGTTCTTTTTGCAAATATCTTTGAATTTACTTTCTCCTAATGCGCCGCCTTCAGCTTTCCTAACCTACACAGTGACCGGTATGAACACTGTGTGATAGCTTCAAATGTGTTACAGTTCGATTCGAGCCGTTCGCCCAAGCAGATCGTGTGCATCATATATTGCTGTATGGATGTGACCAACCGGCAATGAATGCAAAATTCTGGAAGGGTCCACAAACCTGTCGAGGTTCAGCGCATATTTTGTACGCATGGGCTCGGAACGGTCAGTCGAGCTTATCCACTTTGCGTAATCACGGCTGCTGATCTTTCACCAGAATTATAAATTTTTCAGCTCCGGACTTACGACTACCAGCAGGCGTAGCGTTTGCTGTTGGTCATCCATCGGATACAATTCGTTCGTTTGTGTTGCAGGTGAACGTTGAACATATTCATTCGCTGAATGCCAATAATACGTTCGAATGCGTGATTGTATTGATGATGATTACGTAGCGATTAGCATGGATTCTTCAATAGAAATCCTAGTCTATGAGCATAATGCCGACCTTGTAATATTTCGTTGCATCAAATTCCGCAGCAGAAAAATAATCCCCCATTGAATAATCGAATTGCTCTAAACGTTTTACATTTTGCCAGCTGCGACACATTTACAGGTGCATTACGCTCATCCATTTGTTGGCAAGTTGATGGACTATTCGGGTGTTACAATGCATATGATTGACGAGACGCCTCAATACTTAGCAGCAGTTCTCTTGTTTGTTAGCGGCAGTCCAATTCCACCTGGCTACGCTCATTATCAAACTAATATGAGTTGTGTTTATCGGTATGTACTAAGCTATCATACCATATCACATTCATTGTTCAAAGTCTCAGTCGTTGCTTTTGCCGAGAATATTGAAAATGCGAGTTTAGTTCTTACATGTGTGAATTTCTAGCAATTTATTTTCAAGTGCTGCATTCAATGAAACACAGCTGATAGCGATGGTGATGATTATAGTTAAGTCGAAGTAATAAAATACCATTGATGAGGATAATAATGCTAATGGTGTAATCAATGGTCATTGGAATAGCGTCAAAGATAGTGGCAACATTAGTGAAAGCAGTTATCGTATCAACAGCCATAGGAGCTAGCAATATGTGATAACAGTTCTTCTAATGATAAGGACAACTCTAGTCATGTTGCAGAGGCACAACTGATTTGCACCCATTCGCCTTCCGAACTCATACGCATGGCATGGGACGTGTTGTATCGGCGTTCTATAAGCATGACGGCCAGTGGACAATGATCGGAAAACGTAACCCGCAGTGGCCTCAACTCTTTCAGATGATCAACACAAACCTGACCATATCGCCTAGGGATCTGATGGCTGCAACTTGTGTTTTTGATTCATCGCAGCAGAAGAAAGTCGTTCAAATGGGGTCTGTTTTTTGATTTTTATTGGTTTTGGTAATTGGAAGCGGAGATTGAACAAAGACACGAAAACTTCATCTGATAATTGATACATCTATTACTATTTTGATCCTGATAGTCTTCAGCGAATTTCTGTTATCTCATACGAGGCCTTTAAGCATGGCATTCTAATTTATTCAAAGATTCCGATCGAACCTTGCAAAACGTGGCAAGGTTTTGAGCGCTATGATAAGGAGTACGTGACCGCTGAAAAGAAAAAGGCCAAAACGGGGACTGCTTTGAGGAAGTGAGCTCTCAAAGGTGAAGTCACATGCAGGAATTGCTTACTTGGAGTTCATTAGGAGTATGCTCATAGTAGTTGATTTTAGAAATACAGGCGCAGATGAGATGTGCAATTTCTATATGATGTTCTATTGGGATGCAGCCGTACCAGATCCTTTCCCTTATGGTGCTGCGTGTCCAATGCAAGAAGAAGGGAATATCGTAAATCAAGAATATCCAGCTGATGGGGTTTCCTTACTACCACCGCATCCTGAATGGGAACATAAGGCGCTTCAAACTGGGAAACCGTTTGGTGAGCTGTTGAGAAAACTCATTTGTAAAGTGATTTTTCAGTGAAGTAATCAATTACGACGAATTTTTTGATGAGCACTTGAGCGGTTCCGAATAAATTGAGATCAAGCAGACATTTTATTTCAGGTTTCACGGATGGAATCTATGCGAAATCGATTGGAGACTCGAAATTAGGGCAGGTTTCGGGCTTAGCATTTGATCCGTATGGTAACCTAGTGGTGTTTCATCGAGCGAGTCATTTTTGGGATCAGAGGTCATCGATTGATGCTATTCTTTTGCTTCTTGTGTCACTTCGACAGGTAGTAAATTCAAGTAGTGAATTCACGCAGTTTCAAGTAGTAAATTCACGAAAAAGGAACTAATATCCTCCAAATATTTTGATACCAGTGAATGAAAACACTTCTAGTTTGACTGATCATCTTGTGAAGCATTCATGAGATCTGTGATGAACAGCATAAGCTACAATGAAATGTATAGAATGGTTCGCTGATGGCAACAGAGCAGCATTTTCACATAGGTTCAGAATATAAGTAATCAAGTGCAAATTTAACTATCAAAACTCACTAGAAGCGAAGTACGCTAAGATCATTAGGTGATTCGTGAGGAGAAAACGAGAAATTTGGGGTGGATGAGACAATAGCAGTTAATAATGCTGTGCCATAAGTTGATCGCTTTCAGTACCTTCGATTATGCAAATGTATTGCAAGATCGAAGTCCAATAACTGAAGATACGATTTTACTGGTGAAACCTGATGAATCAGGCGAATCGCTGACATTAGTCGCCAGTTATGGCGCAAATGAGTACGTTTACAGCTGTTTTATTGCTTCGTCAACTCATGATTGAATAATAATCGAACTCATATCCATTTTTGCAGAAATAAATTTAGGGATTGAAGTAGCGTTTTATATTAGAAGTAGTTATTTAAACCCATCATTTTCAGATTTTACCTGCCCCATGGAATTTTCGTAGATACAAATAATGATTATTTTACCACTGACGTTGGCTCACATCAAGTGATTAAATGGCGACTCTCAAACGGTAATATTCACGTTTACTTGTCTTCATGTGTTTGGTCGTGTGATCAGTAACTAAAGTCGTGGATTCTAGTTCTATTGGCAGTAACCAACTTTTTCACTGTATTAACTTTTGGACGTTACCTGAATGTTTAAATGACTTGTGCTACAACTTTTACTTCATTTTTGTTATTTCATATCAAATGCCCGTCAGTAATAAGAAATTTTATACAGCTGAAAGACGATCAGTGAACATATTTTGATACATTGACGACATAATGTCAAGTAAATGTATCTATTAGATTGAACTTATGTATCAGTGTTTTTGGGTTAAGTTGCCTGAGAGTGTTCGTATACATCGAGTGGATAATTTCTAGGGAAGCTTCAGAAGCAGTTTGCGCTGGGTGAACAGTTTGTGCCAGGATCTGATCATAAGCATTTCTGTAAGCCAACTGCGGTGACCACACTCCAAGACGGAAGTATTTTTGTTGCTGACGGATACTGTAATAGTCGTGTTCTTAAATTCGATAAAGATGGCCGCTTTCTGACGAAATGGGGCGAACCCTCATATGGTATTTCTCCTATTCTGTTGTTTGTTTTCGAATTGAACACGTCAAAGCTTTAAAAATTTCAAAAATTAATGCCTCATCAAAGGTGATGTTTTGAGGAACATTAAGGGATTTCTAATAAGAAGCAAAACCGATTTGTTCGTACTTTCTTCACTGACAGGAAGTGCGGTAGTTTCGGCAACTGTTTTAGCCGCAAGTGTTAAATCAAGAGAAGGACACCGAAATTTTCCGCGTAATGCTTGCACTTTAATGATGAATTGTTTGAGTCTGACAATTACGGCGTCACCAGTTCAAATCAATGTGTAACATTACAGGAAATCAGCCGGGATCGCCAGCTCTGGGATTATTTACAATTGTGCACGATATAACAACAAACAACGACGGTTCCTTATTGTACGTATCAGATCGTGAGAATGCTCGAATACAAATCTTCAGAACAACTGGACAACCGATGGGGCAAATCTCGAATCCAATCAACACAACGCTGTTCTCAACCGTCTATTCAGCTCATTACTTCGGTATTTTGATTGCTTATTCATTTCGACGGCTGATGTTCATCAAAGAGGAAAATATTATGATTCTATAAGACTGAATGGTTGATGGATGCAGTTGTATTATGTGAGATGTTGCTGCTCATTATTGCAATCAATTATGATTCTATGAGAAGCTGTTGTTTCTGACACGCTCACTCTAAAATCATTCAGATGATTTCTTCTCTTCAGACGTGTTGTATTCTCTCTCATAGCTATTACGTCGAATAGCGTTCTCTTGATAAGTTTTATTCATCCAATTCGTCTCATTTAACATCACAGTTCAAATCAACTTCTGGTTGAGTAGCGTGTATTATTTACTGGATGTGTTGACGAGTGTTGACAGCCCAACTCAACAATACAGCAATCGAATTGAATTGCTCAACAACGTTCGACGGTCTGATGACCAATTATAGAGTGTATTTGATAGAATGAGAATTTGAATTAAACTATTGAGTGAAATGAATGAGAAATTAGCAAAAGAGAACACTTCTGGTGATAAAAGCTATGAGAGCGATTGCAACAACAAGGAAAAGAATGAAAATCCTGTTGAAACACCATTTATCGACAAATATATGCGGTTTTCACTGAAACTACGAAATAAGATCAAATCATGCTGAAAACCCAACTGACAGAACATCACTTCTGAAACAACCAGGTTACTGATTGAGTAACAAAGGATCCGCGGAGGAAACTTCCCAAGATGTTTTCTCTAATCAGCGATCGCTGTATTCCTCGATGCTAATGGTTAATGCTGTTTTTAGATGATTCAGTCTACTTTGTACCCGGTGAAGCGCGATATGACTTGGGTTTACGTGTGTTCAGTGCGCATGCAGAATCAGCACGAGTTCAGTTCTCATTTGAGCCAGTTTTACATAAATTGGAACGACCGCACGTTCTGAGGGCTTCACCAGATGGTCGTTTCATATACGTTGCTGATCTTGGCAATGATATGGGTGGCACGTTATTCCAATTCAGTTATCAGCGTGATTCGGCTGGTAAATCTGTCAGTAATAGACTATCGGCATCAAAGACGGGAATGATGTCATCTGGTGTTTCCAGCGGATCGCTAGTCAATCCACATTCTAGATCAACTATGATTATTGGGTCAATGACAGCAACTGTGGTGCTGATTGCTTTGTTATTTTTGTATCGAAGGTATCGTGCAAATCAGCTGAATGGAAAGCGAACTTCAATTTTGGATCGTGCGGTTAGTTTCTGTCATTTCGGATGATACCTGTCCGAATATAAATATCAGCTTCAATTCAGCCAGAGGTCACTCGTTTTCTTGATGGTCAATCCTCTGCGCTTGTTTCCATATCTTATTGTCCATTCGGAAATTTTGGACTTGCACAACTCAGTGCTATCCATCCTCGTTATGAGTCAATTCTATCTTTACTGTAAGGTAGTGATGTTGTCACAAATAGAATTTTTAGGGTTTTAAACCGTTGAGAACCGATGATCCAGATTCGAGCGATGAGGATTCAGATGAGGACGATACAATCATAACACGCACGACAACAACAAATAAATTTGGTGGTCGATTTTGAGTGATGAAATTTTAAAGTGATGAAAATAAAAAGTGATGAAATCACATTTTCGTTTTCTCAATGCCTCCGTATAAAGATTTATTGTAACTTCTAATATTACCACTCCTTTTCAACTTCTCAACTTTCAACTTCACCATGAGTGTGTCCAATTGCTGAACTTCCTGTGATAATTCGGAACGTCCACTTCTCTTCTGGCCTATAAATTTACGGCATTCTCTTCTGTTTTGTTCTTTTCTATTTCAATATGTTTGTACCTGTGATTGGCTAATTTATTTTGGCTGTTGTAATTAAACCCTTACAGCGTCAGTTCACGTATAGGCGTTGGCAACGTATTCAGTCCAAAGCCGGTGTCTCAAAATTACTCGAACCACCACAGAATTTGAAAATTTATTATGTTCACCCATTATTGTTCTTCATAACCAGCATTATGTGCTGAATTCTCTGAATGGAATTATTTCTTGATTTCGATTGAAACTCACGGTTTTGTTCCTTTCTGACCCTTTCAGTGTTCATAAAATTTATGAATAAACCTTACGATGATTCCTGTAGAAGTGCTCCCGCTTTGTGCTTTCATGATCATGTCGTTGCTTGTCTTGTACGCTGTGAAAAATACTTCGTTTCTATGAACAGTTACAGTTTGAGATAATTTTACATCATTGTATTGATTACCATTATTGTATGACAATGATACTACGCATTCCGACATTATCGGAGCTTATGTTCATACAGAATGCCATTTTTTACATTGTATTAACTTATTTTCCACAGCTCATCTCACTATGTCATAATAAAAACTTTTTGTGGTTTCTTATCACTGAATTTATCAATCATAAATAAGCATTTGTGATTTTTAATTTCATCTTCGTATTCGTTCCAAAATTCTCAACGTTTCATAGCTTATCTGAACGTGTAAATAATCTGTCTCCAATTTAAATATATCGCTTGTATTTTTTCGCATTTGTTCCGTACTACTCCATCTGATCATGAATGCAACTTTTCAAAGAATCTAATTTTCTTGATATGTTCGGTTACAACTTGGAATGCTGTATTATAATAAGGAATGTTCGATAAAATTCACATCTGTTATTCACAGTAATTAAAAAAATAAAGAATAGTCATAAGGTTTTAGCCGCAGCTTTCATTTTTTTAAGGTTCTCTTCTTCAAACACATCCGATGGAGGTACTTCAGTTTGAAATTGTTCAGGAATATATAGGCCAACATATGCTGGTGTTCGCAGAGGGCACGCACAGTAGGTGGCATCAAGGCCTGGCATGCCCTCAATGCCTGGTGGTCCTTGTAAGCCAGGTTTACCTGGAAGACCCGGACTTCCGGCACGTCCAGCAACTCCCGGTGGTCCCATTGGTCCTGGTATACCAGGGATTCCAGTTTTGCCAGGTTGCCCAGTTAACCCAGGGAGTCCTTGAATACCTTTCGGCCCTTTAGGACGAATAATACGCAGACTATCCATGCCAGGCCGACCTGGTACGCCCGGTCGTCCATATGAACCTGAAAATGAAATTTGAGATGTTGAATTTAAATGTTTTCAGATCAGACAATTCTTTGCACAGTTGATGAAAATATTCAGCAATTTTAAACATCCATATCATATTTCTGGTGCAATAGTGGAATAACATAGGCTTCTTCAAAGTTTTTTTCTTGCGCCAGTGAATCATTTCGTTTTTTGGAACATTCGCAGTTTAGCACACCTATGCATTTGCACCTTCTCTATGCCTTTTTCTGTAGTCATGAATTGAATCTGGAAGTAGATGACTGTGAACTTTTTACAGCTTGACAAAACCCTCAAACTGTATTTTTCATTTTTACTTAGAACTAATCGAGGAATATTTTTGAGCCTTGATGTGTGCCCATTCAGAGCGTCAGATCTTTCTCACCTTGTCGTCCTCTATCGCCAGTAGGTCCAACCGGTCCAGGCTGACCAGGAAAACCCGGCACTCCAATATAACCTAGTCGGCCTTGTGGACCCGGTGGTCCCATCGGTCCAGGAAGGCCTTCAGGTCCTGGTAATCCAGGTTCGCATTTGATGCAGCCTCGAGGCTCACTTATCATTGACCAAATCTCCGCTCCGCTCAGCCCCGCAACTCCTGGTATACCCGGAATACCGTCATATCCATCGGGTCCGGGATCACCTGGCGGACCCGGAGGGCCGGGAGGGCAATTGCTAGCTTGCGATGCACAGTCGCAGACAGCTTCACGGCGCTTCCGCCGAGTAAACGAGTTGAAAGCAAACGAGTTTTGTTGCGGTTGATTTCGTTCATAATTCAACTCATTGCTTAGGCTGATCACCTCATGCCAAGTTTCGTTCACTATCGCCTGCAAGAACGATGACATTCGTCTGAGGTCTCAAAAATTTCTAGCTCGAAAGAACGGCGACTGCATTCATTGATCGCGATTGCGATGTCTTCCTCGGGTCAGACCCAACCACCAGCTTTGCTCAATAAATTCTAAATTATTGCTTTAAATGAGAGCAACAAAAACAGCAAGCTGCATTCTTCATGCATGTTCAATCGATTTCCGTCAGCAAATTTTATCCAAGAAAATGTATTTTTGATAACACGCTGGGGCAAGTCTATTCAGCAATGAATTAGTTGTCGTTGGCTACAGAAAGGTTCCATAACTATTATCCGACCGACCTTAAAATCTGTCATTTCATCCATGATGTTAGAATACAATGCGCCGATGTCGTTTGCAGTTTTAACGGCAGCAAACAAACTTAAAACGGTTGTCATGGCACACAGGATTGTAGTTATTTTCACGAACTGCACCAATGTTATCATTTCTGAAACCGAAGCAAAAC